AGGATATCAGAATGATTTCTGAAGGATCATGTGACACTGAAGACTGGAGTAATGATGCTGAAAATTCAGCTTTGCTGGCACAGGAATATATTCCATTTTAAAATGTAATCAAATAGAAAAAAGTTATTTTAAATTGCAATAATATTACTGTTTTTACTGAAGCCTTGGTGAGCTTAAGAGACTTCTTTCAACCCCAACCCCTTCGACCCCAAGCTGTCCCTTGTACATTTGGGTCTCCTTGGCAGGAAAAGGTATAAAAACCCTTGTTCTGGGCCATATAACGTAAACCTTGTGGTATGAAAACCGACAAATTGTAACTACAACAAATCTAAAATTACATCATATGTACTGATGCAGCGTCTAGACGAGAACAAATCAATAGGATATAAAAGTTTTACTGCAGAATACTTGATATTTGACTACAGAGGACAAAGGATTGAAGGTGCCTTCATAATGTCAAATGGCATAATGTCTTACTGTGCTTCCTGTTGTATGTGGTGGCAGACGGCCGGTAGGGAAAACAAATGATATAAAGGCCTAATTTAGATAGGGAGGAAATAAAATCGTTGACAAAGAAGAGTTTATTTTAACTGAATCAAATGATTGCTGAGGGTCATATGTTGGAGGGCATGTCAAAAAATTGATTTTCAACTCGGACTATGTATTTCTGTGACCTTGGGAAAACTATAGCTCTTATTCTGTTTTCCACTCTCAAGACTCATACGTTTATGCATTCTATAGATCTTCAAAGGTGTTCTCGTGATTGAACACCACACAGCGTTTTCAATCCTTCAAGCCTACTATTACATCTGCAAACAAATTATAGAACTGTTGCAACAGTAGAAAAAAGGATGAGGGGGGTGTGAAAGTGTTAAGTCAAATAGATGTTTGGGAAAAACACATATTTACACACAGAATCTGAAACTTTTTTATTCAGTTTTGTCCGTAAGACTGTCAAGGGAAGAACACAGAAGCATTGTTCATATCACAGTGTGGCTGCAGCTGGAATCTAGGACAATAAACTGATAATGCTCCAGCTTCAAGCCAGGCCTTCAACCCACTCCAACTGTCCCATAAATACTTCATTTCACTTCATTAGTTTTAACCTTGACCTTCGAAGGCGTAATTTCAATAGGCCATGGGGCAGACAGCTCTGTTTGATAACTGATAATCATATTTCAGATTCTATGAACATGAGAAGATGCAATCATGTGAACCAGAGGTAGGGAATGAGCAGCGGAAATGTTTATCACGACTACAGCAAGGCAACATACTGTATCCAACATCAGCTGAAGCCTTTCAGAAATAAGATTCTCTTCAGTTACAGAGCAGTTTCTTTAAAAAGACTGCAGCTTTTATAGGATTCGTATAAAACATCCACCATCTTCAAAAATCCCACTGAATTACCGTCTCAGTGTTCAACATTTAAAATTGAAAGACGTTGTAAAAAAAAATATATATATATATATAATTAAATGATCTTCCGGTGAGGAGGTGCATAACAGGGTGACTGTGAAGGCAATGGGAGCAAACTCTTTTTTGTAGAGTCATAAAGCTTTCAAATTACAGATGGGACTTTCTATAAGAAACTGAATACATGTGACCTAACGTGATATTTTGAGAAAATAATTGTGAATTTTATCATTTTATATGTAGACCTATATACAATTTTTATTTCGTCAATATTGCTCAATATTTTTTTTTTTTGCCAATATTTGTCCATAATTTAGATTACCTTTGGTAACACGTTAACACATGTAGCAAAAAGTTTTCCGTTGCGTTTTAGAATTTTTTTTGCGTATACAGATGACAACGTTGTCAAAATGATCCCGTTCACGCAGATTCACGAAAATGACTTAAAAAAGCTGTATTACGCATGCCAGGCCAGTAGTTGGCGATGTCACTTTGTAAAGAAACACTACTCGTCTGCGCACATACGGATTCTTCTACGAAAGATGTAAATAATGCGTCTCTGCTGGTAGTAGTAGTGGTGAAGTAAATCTACTTTATAAATTCATTATCTTGAGCAGTACAAACACAGTCCTGGGGTCCGTTCTTCATACCTCACATAATACATCTAAGATGGTTTGACTAACACAGTCTCATCCCAAGACGTCATATGACTGACGCTTTTGACCATACGTCAACATCCGACGTTTTGGGGTACCCTTTAACGTCAGTTAGATGACGATCCTAGGGCGTCATCTAACTGACGCTTTACCTTTAGCGTCAGTTAGATGACGCGGGTAGGTTTAGGTCTGGGGTAGGGTTAGGATTAGATAGCGTCATCTAACTGACGTTAAAGGGTACCCTAAAACGTCGGATGTTGACGTATGGTCAAAAGCGTCAGTCATATGACGTCTTGGGATGAGACTGGGCTGGTTTGACAGATGGCAGATCTTTTAATCGTGATAACTGATCTCTAGATAATTTGGTTCTTCAAACGAATTTGGATTAAGTTGTCTGAGATTATTTGTGATCTTGTGTTCAATGGAAAGGGCAGATTATCGATACTCGAACCCATGATCAGCAATGCAGCGATTGGCTGATGGCAAGACAGCAACTTAATGACATCATATTAAAAAACAACATCATACACCTGACGAAAAACTTGACGAATTTCTGAACCTTTATAAGAAAACAGCCAAACAACCAAATATAAAAGTTATAATTGCTAAATGAAATATGTACTGTTTGTTGCATGATTCCCAATGATTTCCATGATTTCTAGTATTTGTACAGGCTTTACATTTTTATTTCAAATTTGTAATGAGCAGTTCATTTAATTTGACCTTTGAAGTAGATTTGTTATGTGACAGCAAGTTTGACAGCACAGCAGACAGCATTTTCAAAAGTGTTTTTAAGCATTCAGTGTTTTGCTGCCAAGTCACAGGTAGTTTGGTGAGCACATATTTAGTTGGTTCGGTAAGCATATATTTAGATTGCCCTCCTCTTTTCACTTTTTCTACATTGCAGACATTATATAACCAGACAACCTTTGCTTCAGTTTTACGGTATACTTAACTTACGCCCACCTATAGGCGCACATTCCAATATGAAATGTTCAAACCACTCGAGCTGCGACAAATGTGACTTTCCTGAAGATAATTGGCTGCATTAGGTTTTGTAGGGAAACCAAAATGATTTTTTTTTTTTTTTTATGAACCACTGTGCTCAACAGGGAACTGTGGAAAGCAATGAAAAGAACATAATGAGCTATGTATATAAAAGAGAATCATAATTGTGTCTCCTAAAAGTCTTTTCATGTGGGAATAAAGTGTGCATCACATGATTAAAACACAAAATGAGGGGAAATTAGTACAACACAATAGCGTCAGCAGGGACGGGATTGACAAAAGCTCCCAATACGTTATATATTCACTCCGGTACACTGCTTACTCAGTGATTACATAATGAAGGTCGCGTAATTGTTTCGGTTCACTTCTACTGTAAAGATCACTTTTGATTACAGACAGTTGTCTCCTTTCTAGATGCCTCGCAAGACAGTGACTGGTTTTATAGTTTATATTTATGGCTTCCCAATTGGCTGATTTTATTATCAGTAATTTTCAGAGCAGTCAAACACATTTACTGTAGTTTAAGAAAAATTGATTAGCACCTTACCTCCCGCATAATATTTCCTCTGTCAGGGCTATTTTAATTAAGAGGTGTGTACTGTAGGTGTACATACTGTAACTACATGAAAATCTATAAACTTGTCTAGGAAATTAAGGACATTCACTCAAGAGGCCAGAACTGAACACTTTTTCATATAAAGGAAGACATAATTATTTGTGTGCTTGCATGCACAATACCAGTTCTGGTGAAACTAAACCTCAAGTAAGTTGTAGAACCTTAACCCTACTATTTTAGGAGGGAAAAAAAGAAAGAAAATAATAAATTCCGAAGCATTTACTAACCCTCATGAGGTTTCGAACCCATTTGCTGCAAGATGAAAGGAGATTTTTCGTGTACGAATCTTCACACAGCACTGTTCCATACAAGCCTTCATAGGGAGACATTTTTCAAGCTCTAAAAAAAACACAAGAAAGAACTGTAAATGCATCATAAAAGTGGCCCTTATGGCATGTGTGCCATATTCAAAGTCTTTTGAAGCCATATGATTTGTTTTTAACGATTCCAGTTCCTTTTAAAGTCGGCATGAAATGGAATTTGCGATAGTCTTTTCTTCCTTATTGTGACGTATATCAGAGTGAAATGGCTTCTTGAACAAATAAAAGTGCAGGGATCAGAGATGAGATGTCGCTGCAAAAGGTTATTTTAATTAAAGATTATGATGGCACATGTATAAAAAAAATGCTGCATGTGCAGTGCACTGATCAAATTATTTATAATAAACATTGCAATATTTCATAAAAAAGAAGAATTGTCCATTTTGATTTCATGGTGACTTTAACGGTTCCATTAGTGGTTCTTTTAATAGGCCTACTTGTTAGGAATATATATTTGTGAATAATTATTTAAATTCCCTTGTCAAATGATGGTACAGTATAATGTCAATGATGAATAAATGTAAAACAATTCTTGAAAAGGGTGTATTTATAAATGTGTGATTCACTTTTCATAGTCTTTGAATAAGTGCATCTTTACACATTGTCATATGAACAACTAGTCTGTAATTACACTGAATTATGTATCACATTTAATTAGTTAGTTTAATTCATACACAAAAAAACATCTGAGTTATTCCTTCAGGAATCGGATTACTCTGGTTGCAATGCATATATTTGATTCATTAAAAATACATTTATGTTGTCTTATTTGGATCTTAATCTTATGTTGTAAAGATCTGCCAAAAAAAAAAATTGAAGAAAAAACAACAGCAGCATAAGGGTTTGGAACAAGCTGAGGGTGAATTTATTTTTTAGATGAATCAAAAGGATTATAAAGGTATGGAGGCGAGGCACTAAGACCCAGAGGACAGCATCCTCGCTCAAACTAAGATCATGGTTATCAAAGCTGCAACTTTTGCATCAGAGCCCTATAAAAAGCAAGAACCCTGCGACCGCCTATCAGTGAAACCTAAGAAAAACTCCCGCAGCGTACAGGCAAACTCTCAGCCTTTTAAAGATGACTCGAGTGTGGACGTGAAGCAAGAGCAGCACTGAAGACTGATGCAGGGATGTTCTCACACAACTTTTGGGATGCTTTATAGTGTGCAACTGTTGTGTTCGAAGCTTATTTTTATTTTTTTTATAGACCGAAGTTTGAGAATTAAAGAAGCAAAAATAAATCTTTGATTGTCACAGAACAAAAACACCAACGAGCGTTTGACTGAACCTGATGATAGAGCTGACAGAAATCATGAAGCGAAGAAAATATTGCTTTATTTTCAAAATATGAAAACATATGTCTTCAGGGATGGAGCGCAGCGACCATTTCAATTTCAAGCCAACACCTGCCCAATTCGAGGTTTTAAACAGCTCGACCGGCACAAATGTGACTTTAACACCTAAAACGGACGAAAACCAAGAAAGTTTCGCTTTCCAAGTCAGCTTGGCATCAGTTCTCGGTCTCATCACTATTGCAACGATATTAAGCAATGCATTTGTCATCGCCACCATTTCCCAGTCCAGAAAGCTCCAGACCCCGGCGAACTTCTTGATCGCGTCCCTGGCCGTCACGGACCTTCTGGTGTCGGTGCTCGTGATGCCCATTTGCGTGCTGTACACGGTCACTCGCGAGTGGACGCTCGGGCAGGTTATCTGTGACATCTGGCTGTCCTCAGATATAACCTGTTGCACCGCGTCCATACTTCACCTCTGCGTAATCGCCTTGGATCGATACTGGGCAATAACGGACGCGGTCGAGTACTCCAAGAAGCGCACCCAAGCGCGCGCCGCGGGGATGGTGGCCACCGCCTGGGTCATCGCCATCTCCATCTCCCTTCCGCCTTTCTTCTGGAGACAGGTGAAGGCAGGGGAGCTGACCACCTGCTCGGTCAACACGGACCACATCTTCTACACTATCTACTCCACTTTCGGAGCTTTCTACATCCCTACGCTGTTGCTCATCGCCCTGTACGGGCGGATTTACGTGGAGGCGAGGAAGCGCATTTTGAAGCAGTCTCCCAAAAAAGCGGGAAAAAGACTCACTTCGGCACATCTCAGCAGCAATTCACCCGCTTCGGTGGCTTCGACCTCTCCTTTGCATTGTGGAAGGCACGACCTCTGCTCGGACACTGGGTCTCTTGGCAGTGACAATCAAATTAGAGTAACAGTGTCCGATTCACTATTGGAGAAAAAGAGAATATCGGCTGCGCGCGAGAGGAAAGCCACCAAAACCCTGGGCGTTATTTTAGGAGCTTATATTGTGTGCTGGTTGCCGTTTTTCATTTACACATTGCTGGTTCCCCTCTGTCCATCCTGCTTTTCCGCAGAACTCTTTGACTTTTTCACATGGCTTGGCTACGTCAATTCACTGATCAATCCAATAATATACACCATGTCGAATGATGACTTTAAAAAAGCTTTTCACAAACTCATAAGCTTTAGATGTTGCAGACGATAGTAAAATAAATAAATATAGAGGATAATGGTCAGTCAGTCGGTCCTTAACGCAAGTGTTATCACGGCACTGTGTCGAATGCTTGATTCTGATGCTGCTATACGTTTTAAAGGGATGGTTGGTTCACCCACTAATGAAAATTATGTCATCATTCAACTAACCCTTATGTTGTTCCAACCGTGTGCGAGTTTCTTTCTTCTGTTGAACACAAAATAAGATATTTTGAAGAATGTCAGTAACAGTTGACGGTAGCCATGACGTCCATAGTAGGAGAAAGAAACTATGGAATGGCGTCAACTGTTTGATTACCAACATTTTTCAAAATATATTATTTTGTGTTCAACAGAAGAAATAAACCCATACAGGTTTGGAACAACATAAGGGTGAGTAAATGACACAAGTTTCATATTTGGGTAAACTATGCCTTTAAGGTGTTGATTGTTGCTCTTTAACCTGCAGGGCTATGTATGAAGCAGTTCCATGTCATTTGTCCCACATCACTTTGCCACATTATTAGTATTTTTTTCAAAGAGCTATACAGCATAGAATATTAAAAGAAGCATACAACAAATACCCGACCAAGCATATAAATGACAGACAATCCTGTTGACAAAATGACAATTTAGATTTTTTTTTATAAACTAATTCATCTAATAGCTTCCATGTTTGTAATTATGCTGTTGTTGCCTATTAACACGACCGAGAGCCGCAGCAGAGTAATCACATTCACACTCCCTCCCTCTTGCTGTCACGCACACAACCTTACTTACAGCAATGACTGCTTAGAGTCAGCCCAGTTCTAGTTCTACTACTTCGAATAGTGACCCTATTTTAATTAATAACAATGGCATGGGCTGTTTCTAAACAAGATAAATGAAAAAAATATATATATAATAATAATGTGTTTTAGGGATGAAAACTTGAAAAAAATGGAAAGTAACTTGGTAGCACATGGTATAAGCGAAACAACTGACTCCGGATCTTTGAATTATCAGGAATTCACGTCATGCCATATTATAATCCTAAATAATAATGACCGTCTGACTGCACATTATCACTTGTTACACGACTACTTAAATGAATAAATAAATAAATGGGTATTAAATAATTACTGAGTTGATATTTTATTAGTTTACTTGTAAAGATAGCAGAGAGACAAAACACAAGCACAGTAATGTAGGAAACAGGTTTCAGTCAATCAAGAATCTCAGAGAGCCATGTAATAATCTGTTAAGTGGGCCTCGTTTAACATAGTAGACGTAGGCTATATTACTTCAAACAGAATGTACAATGACTTTGGATTTCGTAACAATGCTTTGACAGCTTGTGGTCAACCAGTTGCTAATTAATAATGCAAAAATTGTGTAAAAAAAAAAAATCTTCATTGTCTTTATTCTTTATTAAATGTGCAATTAAATTGCTCTTATGTGGTCACTGCCTATTGCTGCTGACTGGTCCTAAACGTAATAAATAAGATGGGTAATCCATTTTCTTGTGCTCACATCCAGTACCTCTTTCTTCCTGTCTTATGGTTGATTAAACAGTGCGAATATGTGTTGCTTGACTAATGAAAACGAGCATATTAATGATTCATTTTTACACCTGTTCTTGCTATTTCTTCCCTTGTCCAAGCTCCCAAAAATGTGGGTGTTTTGGTCCTTCATTTCCACTCAATGAGCATTCTGAGATCAAACCAAGTAAGCAGTGGGAATTTATACTGAGGTCAAGTCTTCACTGTACAAACGGTGCATTGGACAGAGTTAAACTGACCGAGGCTCTTAAGATTTAGATATGAATTGAGACCTACTTCTAACCCAAATTGATTCACCTTCTGCTCAATATGCTCATAAGTCATATTATCTGTCACTCGACAGTATGAGAGATCACAGAGTAACTGAGAATGACACGTCTACCGCAGGAGGTGAGTAATACGTCAAAGACGCACCAGAACAGGGCAGAGGAGGAGATATCGACCTATTAAGCCCATATGGAGGTGACAGGGAAGGATCACTGCAAAGTCGCAGCATTTCATGAAAAGGCATGTTTGATATTTACCACAATTCTGCTTTTTTCACACTAAGCCTGTGCTTCCTTCAACCCTGTTTTCAATGTGAAGTCATGGTGGGTATTGATTTAGTTATCATGCTTCAAAACCTCCAACAGCAGAAAGTGAAATTGGGGACATATTTAAGCAGGGGGCCAATAGACTAGAAACTGACATATTTAATGCTTTTTTTGGACTTCCAGAGCGCAGACCCTTTTAATGCCTACGAATTTGATGTGATTTGAGTTTTAAAGACCTAATTTTGTACTATTACAGCTTGAATGCTTAACACCATGCAAACACCCGCAATAAGTGTATGCTGTCCTGTCAGAGCCGTTTAACAGTGAATCACAAATCAGCTCTCAGAAAGCAATGGTGATGGGAAAGCAAGCAACATGATGGCATAAATGTTTTTTTTTTTTTAAACATATTGGTCTTTTTTGAGTATGCTGATTAATATGTCTTTTATCATAAGTAGTATTAGTATAAAATGATTTGGAGGCTTGGAGGAGCCGTTAATTGTTTGTTTGCTGGTTTAATTAATTTGAATTTAATCTCTTGCCTTTGTCATTCATCTTTTCTTCTGAGCCCATTAAAAGTCGTAGGTTTAATACTATGCAAAATCAACCTTGCATTTCTGTCTTAAATTGTTGTTGTTAATGAATGTTTTTCTTTTCTTGTTTTTTTTTATAATTAAAATTGAAATATTTAGCTATAGCATATGACTCATCTGAAATAAAGTTTATTGAAGTTTACCCCCCCCATCCCATCCCATCCTTAATGTCCTCCAGGGATGGAACATTAATCACGAGCAAACAGAGAAGCACTCATTTGCAGGTATATGATGAACACTTGCCTTTGATAATATGTGACCTTGATATAATCAACATACAAATCATTCTGACATATGTTACACACATGGCCTGCATATACAGTATGTTTAAGCATGCCTTGCTGAAAATCCGTGCTAATTACCAGAAACAGTCATCAACCATTAAACTTGTGTTTTTAGCTTTTCTTGACATTGACCTTCATCATATTTACATCATTCTCTAAAGGTTTCATCTATGGGGGGTATTTTTTAATGTCCGCTATTAAACACCAACTGTTCCCTCACAATATAAACATGCCAAGCTGCTTTGCAATTACACTTTACCTTAATTGTGCTAAATGGACCATATGTATGCATGTAATGACGTTAACATGTGTTCTCATATACCACAGCTTAATGTTCAAATTAGTCTAACTGTGCATATTAACAGTGTTGTGTAATGTTGAGCAACTCATAATCAGATTACTCACCCTCATGTCGTTCCAAACCTGTATCACTGTCTCATGTGAAAACATAATTATTTTACAAAGTGGAGATTTTTGATTCATACGGAAATGTGCGATTTTCAGAAGAAGAAAAAAGTAAGCATGAAGGCCCACCTCTAAACCGTCAGTGGGGCATAAGCAAATAACACAAAAAACATACGAATGAGATCATAGAAAGTAGCCACCAATTTGCCAAAAATGTAATATACGTAATATCTTTCTTTCACTGAACACTAAGAAAGAAGTTTTGCAGAATGTCCTGGCTGCTCTTTTCTTTACAGTGGATATGAAAGATTAACTTTCAAAATAAGCTAAAGAAGGACAATAAAAGGTGACCATACAACTCATGTGCTACATTTCAGGTCAACCAGGGGTGCGTTTCCCGTACAACGACGTAACTCGATGCTTCACTACCATAGTACGATATATGCATAAGATATGCATAAGAAATGAGCAACTGAAAAAGAAATGTTGACTCCATGATCCAAAGGTTCAAAGAAAGTTATCTGGAGTTAAATATAAGGAAGACGAAGGAGTTGTTGTGTTGTGGGAGGTTTAGTTCATCACTATCTGAACCACTTAAGCTGGGGGGGGGGGGGGCAGGTAGTGGAACAAGTTGAGACCTTCACATATTTGGGCACTGAGATTGATAGGCATCTATCCTTTTCTCAACATGTGAATATCGTCTATAAGAAATCTTGAGAAGGTTGAAGAGTTTTAATGTTCGACAAAATATCATGATAACAGTGTATCACGCTCTTGTTGAATCAGTATTGACCTTCAATATTGCATCCTGGTTTAATTTTGTTTCTGCTAAAAATAAAAAATAAATTATCCAGGGTAATCAAACAGGCATCTAAAATTATTGGGGCCCCGCAGATTCAACTAGTAGAACTCTATAATTGTGCAGTAAAGAGGAAAGCAGACACCATTGTTACTGACCCCTCTAATCCTCTGTACAGCTCGTTTCAGGTACTACCATCAGGTTGCCGCTTTAGAGCTCCTTTGGCCAAAAAGAAAGCGTACAGGAACTCTTTTATTCCTACTGCTATTTCTATTTTAAATAAGACTAAAAAGTGTCATTAGTATATTGGGCTTGAGCCTTTATTGTTTTACATAGTGTAAGGCAGGCCTACTTTTTTCCTTGTAACAATTTTAAATTGTGATGTGTGTGTGATTGTATTGTGTATATGTGAGCCTTTTTAACCAAATACAAATTTCTATCACTGGTTGATAGATAATAAAGTTTTTTTGAATTTGAATTTGAATTTTTGTTTGAATTGATGCATCGTTGAAGAAATCAACTAGCTAGTCACGACTGTTTCCCGAAACCATATTGTCGCAAAGTGGTGTTCAACCACATTGACGTCACGCACGTGGTGGAGTAATAACTTATTTTAATGAAACTGTTTGAGATCGAATTAATGCTAGATGTTTTGATATAAATTACAGACATGACATCTGAGGAATATTCCCAATTTTTCTCAGTTCTTTCGCTTTATTTCCAGATTCAATCATAGGCTCGTTCTTACATAGTAGAGCACGTTCGCACATGCACAGTCTTCATAAATCTCTTGACAAACTCAAAGGATTTATTAAGTCCACATGTCATGCAATCTATAAACTATGCTTCTAACCACAGCTTGAGAGCTGTCGTTCCAACCACACAACTTTGCGATGCTGTTTGTGAATGTTCGCTGGAACGATGGTTTCGGGAAACACAGACTCGTTGAACTATGCTGATAACGACGGAACTTGCGACCATAGTTGGATAACGATGCTTTCGGGAAACGCACCCCAGAGCGGTGAATGTGATTTCACCAAGTACAATATGTTCCTGGATTCAACATCTTTGTAGATCCTGGAACAACATTCCAAACAACCAATCAGATTTGAGGGACAAGTTTACAGTTTATGCCAAGTTTAGGCTTACAACCGGGGTTAGGTGCTTCTACATCAGTGTTATTCACCTATCATTTCCCTCTGATTTTACGGATAACTTGTGGGTATAGGGTCAGGTTTAGGGGTAGGACTAGGAATATTGTTCCAGGATCAACAAAATATGTTGCTCCAGGAACATGTCTTACTTGGCAAAATCCCGGTGACCCATCTGAAGCCCTGCAATAGCTTGGTGTGAAGAACGTAACACCACTTACTAGACATTTCACTTTGAAAGTGTCGCAAAATGTGCAGGAGGCAACATAATATAATTTAGCAGAAATGTCGCCGCACAGGATTTTTTTTCTGATGAGCCTGGGATGAAAGAACTGATCTAAATCTCTTTCACGTTCATTTACATTCACAAATGGCATCAAGACACATTACGCCAAAGCTTAAAGGAACACGCCGACTTTTTGGGACTTTAGCTTATTCACCGTATCCCCCAGAGTTAGATAAGTCCATACATACCTTTTTCATCTGTATGGACTTTACAATTTACCTGGTCTCCCCTGTTTATTGTCGCAGCTCTTTACAATACAGCAAACACTCATGATTGTAAACTACGCTTTTACTATCTAGTAATTGCGGACTCTATTACTCCAACTCTGAACGAACTCTCTGCTCCTCACCACGGTGCGTCTCAAGTGCTGCGGTAATCACTCCGCCCAAGTAGCAGTGCTTCGCCTTCTGAGAATATAGTTCTCAATATTTATACGGTTAAAAGATGGCTGTGTCTCATATGACCTTGTTATTTGTACACTCTGTGACTATACAAATCACAACATGTAAATAGGAAAATGTTTGCGTTATTTTGTCACTTATTGGGATTAGTATGCTAGCTGGAGCCTTTTACATCCAGTCTTTGTGCTAAGCTAGGCTAGCGGTGGGTACGTCAGACAGAGTTACAGCACGCACGGAGATGAAAAAGGTCTTATCTAACTTTGGGGGATACGTGAATAAGCTAAAGTCCCAAAAAGTCGGAGTGTTCCTTTAAATATTGGTTGCTTCCTCACACAGGGCTTGAAACGATTATATTTTTAGAGCTATTACACTGACAAGAGTAAATGACAACAAAATTGTCATTTTTGGGTGAACTATCCCTTTAAGAACATGTGTCACTTTCCATTTCTCATACTCTCTGCTCAACAACAGCTACAGATCATGTCTGTACGACAATCATGCGTCATGCCATTTACATTCTTTACTAAATATATATTTTTCCCCCTGAGCATATCTGCTTACACAGTCGACATTTCACAGTTCAAACACCAAAACTGTCACTCACGGAAGGTTTTGTCCCTCTTTCCTGCATGCTTGGGTCTAGTTGTGCCTTTAATCCTGCGAAAAGAAAAATGCACCAGAACACTGCATTCAATGTCTGAGATGGTCCTTTGCAAAATACAAACTACTGCTCATTTTCTGCTCACTGAAGTAATAGTAATGCCTAAAAGTGTGCACTTTTTTTTTTTTTTTTTACCTTTTCTTTAAATGCCATTCCTTGAGACTGACAGATACCTATTAACTTGTTAGCGTGGCTTATTATCAGCCTAATTCTTCATGGCTTTATATCTTTTCTGCGTCTCTGCATTATTCACCTCAGGATTACTAATTAAGTAGGAAAATCACTATGTTCAAAAACAAGACATTATGTCAGGAAACATTTAGTCTTATAAATGCTATCCAGATAACGAGTTTACCACAGGCCATTAATCCATTATATTTCTACATGGTCCATAACAGACAGCAATCATCAGTTCAGTAAATGTCAAGACAAAAAGTCATTAATTTTGCTCCAAACACTCACTCAGATTCAGAGGAAACATACCTCTCTGAAAGAGGTCTTCATCTTGACGTCTGACATTCATACGCCTTAGGGAGGAAGTCCGCTCCGTAACGTCAGCATCTTTGAAGCGACACGTCTTGAATGCCACGTTATTCCAGCGCCTTTAATGACAATTCCACTTTTAAGCATTCAGTATAGGATCCGTCTTATCTTTCTCAAGGATATTTTGACATTTGAAATGGCAAAATCTTGTCTCAAAGGAGCAGAGACTTTGCAAATAATGCGCTATATAATCTGCAAGGGTCTGGCCTGCTGTCTCACCGTTCAGAGATTTTAGTCGTTTCAGTTCTGTTAGCGAATTAGCGCTTTCTTATGCAATGTCACTTATTAACAGTTGAAGACACAATACAGTAAAAGCAGATCTGCTGAGGGAAATCCTCACGCAGAAAGTCGTGGATGGATAAAACGTGATGGATAATATCATATCTGCTCTTCATTTACAAATATTTACATATGAAATGTAGAGGTCATCTTTATAATCCCGATAATCCCTTCACATCGGTGGTTTGGCGGTGTCAGCAATTCTGATTGTGCCTGTGCGTCACTGCATAGCAAAGAGACTTGACTTTCAACGTGGTTAGCATAAGTGAGTGGATCAAATGTGAAATGGTCGTAACCTCCATAGACGATATTTAGATTAGATGTTGACCGTTTTTTAAGCGGTTGATTCTTAAATGATTACATTTGGACCCCACATGGCTTGCTAAAATTATGGAAGAACTTTGCAAATAATGACATCAAACTAAATTGACATCAAGATATGACAAATGGGATGACATTTAATGGCAAATGTTGAGTGTAATTAAAGTAAATGGGGCCTATTTTGCAACACAACCATCTTTTTTTTATAATTTATGAAATAAAAAAAGGGGTTGTTTTGTTCCAGCAGGATCATTTGTTATATAAATCTATGAAATAAAAATGTCTATACTTGCATCGTATGGTTGGAAAAATGTCCCCTAATGCATCTCAGTAATTATAAGAGCTTTTTCGAATCATGTCCATGGGGATATTGTGTTTTCTCTTATCAGGACAAATGACGGTGGCATTCATGGATAAAACCACATATAATTTCTCTCAGATATGGAGCATGCTCATTTATTGTAAGCTGTTTTCCGATGTACCTTAGTAAGCATTCAGTATCAGGGGAAATATGTTCGTCCATTCGTCCATTTCAGTGCTGACATGCTGCAACACAACCAGCACTGAACACTGAACACTGCTATTCTGAGAGGACTGACTCGTATGCAGGGGTGTAAAGTACTCGAGTAATTGCACTTTATTTCTATACTTTTACATTATGGCATTCAGACGCTCTTATGCAGAGCGCCTTGCAAAAGTGCTTTAGCATTGCATATGAGACCACTGTGATTAACAGATGGCAAGCAAGCAATTTGGAACACTATAAGCTAAGAAGTTCTTCCTGGACAAATAAACAAGCACTATTAGAACAATAGTCCTGTGCGTCATAATTTGAAGGTAATATTTTACCCAAGTAGAGGGGGAAAAGTATGTTTTACTCATTACAATTTCCTATAGTAGAAATGAAATACCTTGCATATATACACTATGTATAGTTGTATCATGATCTATCTATGAAAAAAATATAGATAATTGTTATTTAAAGATTATTTAAATGTTATTTAAAACATAAAGCATTACTACACACTACTGTTCAAAAGTTTGGGGTCAGTAGTTAAAAAAAAAAACTTTTATTCAGCAAGGATGCATTAAATTGATCAAAATTGACAGTAAAGACATTTATAAATGTAACAAAAGATTTCTATTTCAAGTAAATTCTGAAAATTTGAACTTTCAATTCATCAAAGAATCCTAAAAAAAAAAAATCCACAAACATATAAAGCAGCACAGCTATTTTCAACATTGATAATAATGAGAAATATTTATTGTACACCAAATTAGCATATTAGACTGATTTCTGAATGATTATGTGACACTGAAGACTGGAGTAATGAAGACTGGTCCATCAGAGGAATATGTTAAAATATAAAACACACACACGCACGCACGCACACACACACACACACACACACACACGCACGCACGCAAGCACACACACATACTGCAAAATTCAACTGTAACTTATAACCTAACACAATTGTAAACACAGTAAATGATTAATCTATAAACTACTATATTAAACAGTCAAACTATACTATAAAGCAGATTCTGTTATTTAATATTCTCCAGTTTTAGGCAGGCCGGGGTGCCCTTGAGCTATAGCACAATGAGAAAACTGTGATTGAACAGGTTCCTTTTAGTGCATCAAAGTTACTTTAATATGAAAATCTCTACAGTCTCTTAATTTCATCAGTCAGTTTCAAACACTAAGAAAAAAACTGTTTTAACTTTTACGTACAATGAAGTGAGTAAATTTTGTACTTTTACTCAAGTATACGGTTTGGCTAGATACTTAGACTTTTAATTTCCCATTTACTTTTTGAAAAATGATGTCAGTTCAGCCTAACTTTCTGTTTATAATAAAGAAAAACACAATGGCTAAGCAACCGGAACGGCGGTATTAAACTAAATTAAATATGATTGGCCTCGGTAAACGCTTCGCTGTCATTATGTCACACCAGCATGTGGAAGCGTTATTTGGTCAATGACTTGCATTAGTTCTGAGAATGCTTTCATTTCAACATGACATCAAATCTTCAAGGACGCTGGATTCAGTCTGCTAGGAGCGAGAGTCAAATTTGAAATTCTTCTCTCCATAGCACAGAGTCATTACTCTGGTCTGCTGAAGTTTCCTGGGTGCAGCGCATCTCAGCTCTTCATAGCACATATAGATTTAGAGTGGCTTCACTGGGCACAGTCATAAATACACTGCTGGAAAAAGCATTTCGCAAGGCATTTCGATGGCTTGTTTGAAAACGGGGGAATTCTGTGATTTCAGTGCCTCCGTTTTGAGTCATGCTGATGTCAGCCTATGGTCACTGTAACAGCATCTATTATGCTTCTCATTTTCAGAACAGATGGCCATATTCAGGGCAATTTCCACTGTTTACAATTCACCTTGCATGTACTCTAGACAGCCGGCCATTTATCAAAGCAATCAGAGTTGCTGTTCACTAATGGCTCTAGTGACAGTGCGCTTCAATGACTTCTTCCCTCAGATATGAAACAGGATTGAATATGGTATATTCACAAATGCCCTGTATGTATGATGATATGCTTATATAGCTGCTTATGATATATATGATATACATGGTGTTGACCAACAACCATGAATCAATCTATTGTTCAATAATGGAAACATACCAAAATCAAGAATGTATACTAAAGGATTTGATGATTTTCTGTTTTGTGCGCACACACACACACACCCGTTGGTGCATCTATCATCATGAGGACATTCCATAGGCATAATGGTTTTTATACTGTACAAACTGTATATTCTATCCTCTTACACTAACCTTACCCATCATATCAAACTTCCTGAATTTTTTTATAAAACATTGTTTAGTATGTTTTTAAGTCATTTTAATTACGAGGACTCAGGAAATGTCCTCTTAAACCACATTTGTGTTCTCATAAATCATATAAACAAGCACACACACATACACACACACACAAAAGGTTTAATTTAATTGAAGTTTGCCCCCTGGTGGTTTCAAAGCAGGCCCGATTTATAAAACCAGACCTATACAAATCTCACAAACTTGTGTTCTGTGTGGTCTTTTCATTGCATGTTTGGAATATTGAGCTCAATAACATGATTGATTTTCTTCGTCTCGCCCACTTTTTCCGTCAACAAGGGCTCAATCAATCACAGAGTCTCTGAAAACATGGGTGAATGACCATAGCAAAATAAGTAGGTTGAGTTTGATAACTCAGTCATGACATGAGCTCAATCTCCAGGAAAAGCAATACCCAAGATCGCCCATAGGAGAAGCCTGGAGCTGCAAAAGCTCAACGTATGACAGAATCGGCCGGTTGCTTAAGAATCGGCCACATCTGTCAGAAGAGCTGTCCATCACACTATAATATAACACAATTATAATATAATCATTTTCCTAAAATGAGCCTGAAGGAGATTTTCTCATTGGGTACTGCTTTCTTTTTTAGATTAAACCACAGCTGGAGATACATAATTATCATAGTAATGCACACATTACCTTAAATCCTAAGTAGCAGATGAATATCTTCAACATGCAGTTCCAAAAAAATAATTAAAAATAATAATTAAAAAAAAAGTTATGTTAAATATATATAAGGAAGATTGGGGCGAGGCTTGGAGTCTAATAAAAATAAATAAATAAATAAATGAAACCATTTAGTTACTATTATCATTTTTATTCATATTTTGAATTAGTTTTTATATTTACTGTTTTAATTGTAATCTTAGTTAAAGTTATTATTATTATTATTATTTAATATGTCTATAGTTTTTATTAACTTTTATTTCAGTTTTAGATTCAGTTATTTTTAGTAAATGAAAATGAAAAAAAAATTGCCTTGGCAACTAGCTACAATAAAATATGTTTACGTTTAATATATTTTATTTTATTTCAGTTCAGGTTTATTTTATTTCGTGCTCAGTTTATTATATTTTCATGGTTTTAATTTTAGTTTCAGTTAACTATAATAACCCTGCATAATATAAGTGATAACAAAACCTACACAAAATAAAATAAAATAAATATATACAGTATACGGTATGTCAAATACAGAAGCAAGGTTTTAAGTGGATCTAAATGTTCTACTTTTCAGATATGGTTTGTATATTGATATCAAATATCTAAATGTCTTAGAACAAAACAACCTTTGAAATTTTCATTGGTTGGACACACATGTGATCAAATTATTATTTTTTTCCCTGGGCTATAACTATAGCCAAGCCTACATTAGAAAGGCATGTATCTATAAATATCTATATAAAGCTATGCATTTTTACGAATAATCTAATCTAAGGGATTTAGGTGGTACAACTTTCGAAGATCTCACATGCAAAGATGAAGGGATCATATGTATGTCACAGCATGGGGCGAAATAATGAGAGCTGTATCCTGGGATTACGACAGTGACGACTCAGTCAGTCACTGTCATCCATCAATATAAAGCTCTGTCAGAGGAC